CTGGGCACAGCTGCTGGGCGTCCCTGTAATGTAAGCTGTATGTTCACACTATGTAAAGAAGGGCATTTATACCACATACATTCCTTTGGATGTGGGAAGCCAGAGGTGGAAGAAAGGCGTGTGCTTCCCTCTGCATGAACTTTGCAGAGATGTAGAGAGCATGCAGGATTTCCTCACCAATCCGCCAAGGGACATTTGCTACTACCCTGCTTATGGTGAGGTCATCCTCTTGGAAAGAAGTCCCAAATTGTTTTGTGTTCTCGACCACCTTTTTCCTCACGCTTCAGTAGCTCTTTTACTCCTTTGGCTTTCATCCTTTCTTGAAAGTGATGGCAGCCCTCACAGCCTTTGTCTTGCTCCTGCTAGTCACTGTCATCTTCTGTCAACTCTTTGCTGAATCTCTTATACCCCATGAAAATACACCCTTTCCCAGTTGTTCCTGTATGCAAAAAATCCCACAGCTCACAAGAATTAAGCATGTTCTGCTAGCTGCTTAGCAAGCCTGTCACTTCTCTGCTGGCCTAAACATTGCTTGGGATCAACCACTGTTCCAATTCTAAGAAGGATATTGAACAGGTTATTTTCTTTCTGTTTGCATCGCTGCCTATTTTTCTCTGAGATTCTGTTGTAACATAGAATTAATGCGCATTTACAAAACAAGCCAGATTCTTGGTCCCAGATGTGATTTTCATGGCAATCGAAACAGGCTTCGGGGGAAAGGTAGCAAGCTCCATGTAGTAGAAAATAACTACTAACTCTCACTAACACATAGGACAGATTATGTCAAAAGATCCAACAGTTACGATTCTGGTTCCCTATTAATGTACACAGCTAAGAACTGGACACTATGGTTGCTTTTTTCCTTAGAACTCTTTAAATGTTTCTCCAGATTTAATCACTGAGGCTGCATTAAATTAGCAGTGTCATTTCCCACGCACTGTTTCAACTTCTCTTGCCCTTCTATCAAGTATATTAAAAAAATAGTGGCAGATCACACTTTGGATGGGGAAGACACTCAAAAAAGATTAAATTTTCACATCCAAAGCACAGAGCAGTGACAGAATCCTTCCCATAGCTCATGAAGGAAAATCAACTATCTTTTATTCTTTGAATCTTACATTTCTTAGACTCTTTGAAAAGTTCACACTAGATTTTATTTTCAAATTAAACAGAATCCATTTAAACACGGCATTTGTTTAAAGAGCACAGTACACATATAGTAGTATGATGTCATCAAGACGACAGTTTCTTCTCCATTTACTACCCAGGCCAACCTGTTTTATATTAAGTTAATCTGGCTCATATATCTCAGATGACCTGTTGATCAGGTGAACAGTTTCAAATGAGCCAGAACTGGTCAAGAATTTGCACCAAATATGGCAATTAGATTGAAATGAACATGCTTTTTAAAAAGTCAAAATTTTTCCTATGTGGTTTCCAAACTAAAGTTTTGAAACTTGCTTTGTAGCTTGTTGAAATTTAAAACAAAATGAGGATTAAAATGAAACTCCATGCAGAAAATAAAATTATTTGGTTTTGGCCACACAAAATGCTTAACGTAACAATCTTTTGGATCAAATGAATAGGTTGTTTTTTTTACTTCACTACTAGTTTTGGTGGACCAAAACATTTTAAGGCAGAAAATAATAGTTAAGTAGAAAACTAAGCCAAAATCTGTAGTACATATGTCATTCTTCTTTTACAAAGAGCAATTTTCTGCTAGCGTCTAGAGAATGAAAAAATATCTTTGGAAAAACACACAGGAAACACCTCAGAAAATTAATCACTCTAACACTAGGGTAATGAAAAAACAAGCCGGTGCCTTCAACCCATGTGAAAGGATGTGAAAACAAACCAGTACAGCTACAGGTCTTCTTTATCTATCTACATATAAACATTTCTAGTAAAGGGGGCACTCTGATTCAAGCCTGGAAACGCTTCTCATACACAGAGACCTAAGACTCAAACACTGGGCCAGAATCTTAAAGGAGAAAATCTAACTAGCAGAGATATGAAACACCATTACTTGGCCATTCAACCTGTATTTTATTTGTGCATAAGGTATGGAAAAATGAAGAGTCACTTGTAAAAGGTATTTCTCACTTATAATAGAAGAGCATTCAACTGAAAGGCATTTTGTGAAATGACAGAAAAGAAAGATTTACAACACAAACATGGAAATTGTTTTATTTTGGCATATGATCTTTATTTAAACTGTTACACAGGAATAGCTTTATAGAACAAGATTTCTGAGCAGAATTTTTTCTCTTTCCTCCGATGTCTGTTCCAAGCTTTGATGTTCATACTTTAGTTCCCTCACTCTTCATGGGATGAAGAATTATTTATGTACAAAATTATACTCTGAAAGGCACCTCAATCAACATGACACCTTTACATTTATTGTAGGATATCACTTGCACAAATTGAAGTGAGAGCAGGGAGTATACAGTGAACACAAGTCGTCAAGAATAATAATTATAAAAGAGGAAAAATAGACAGTCTGGCATATGAAAGTTTCTTCATTACTCCTTAGTATATTTATAATCAACCAATTTCCTCTTGCATTTTCCAGCTCTGTAAAATAAGACCTGTATATCTTCCCAGAGTTTGTTTGTTAGCCATACAATTCCAAGTAGCCATGCTTAAAGGCATTTTATAAACTATTTTATAACGTGGCATGATAATTTCCCCATGGGGATAGTCACTGGACACATAAATTGTTCCTTTGCCAGGACAAGACTTCCAGTTCTTGATAATGATGTTTTTGATTAGCTTCCAGGAAAAGCTGCCACTTGGTTACATCCATGCTCAGTTCCTTTGCCAGTGATCTTCTATCCAAGTCACAAGGTTTGCAGATGAAAACCTCAAGTGTCCTGCACAAAAACTGAAGAGATATCATCTGCCCCGCAGTCAGTGTTACACCCTGCGTACATATACTTACATACAGTTTTGCAAAACTTAGTTTACCACCCAGCTTTACCCATGGGAAAGTAACTTCACCCCTTTTGCAGTTAAGGGGTCCATTTGCCTGATGACTCTCCTGTTTCTGGGAGCTGCCTGTGAATTCCATGATGATGAGGCCCGATGGAAGTAGAGAGCTTTGCACCAGCAACACCAATGTCCCAGCTCAGAAGCAGTGACTTTCGGCGGCGGCAGCAGCAGGCAGCTCTTTGTTCACAGGAGCATTGCCTCTGTCTCAATATCTCACAGGTTCCATTTCAGCAGATCTGAAATCTTTATGTCGAGTTTCTCTATTCATCCTCCTCTCTTAGCGTTTTTGGAAGAGGGAAATGGAGAAAAAGAAAGCCCAGAAGAACAACTTACACCAGGATATCACTTCTCTTGCTGCACCATACTACCAGTGTTATCATGGCACATGTCAACATGACTGGGATCAAGATCAGAGTTGTGAGAATTTCATCCGGTGGATCTTCCCAGTGAACCTTTTCTGAAGTACAGTTTGAAAAGAATTGTTTATGAATTCCAGTGATAAAGCCCTCTGCGAGGGGGTTTGGCCAAAAGCAACTCGCATTGTTGGCTTCACGTTCTGTGCACTGGGTAAAGTTGTCATAATACCTAGGAGAAGAAGAAAATGAAGAGAAGTTTAAATAGAACACATACGCATATTACACTTAGAGAAAGCTACATAGGGTGCCATATAGAATCTGTAAGAGTCGGTCTATCATGTAGATAGTCTGCTGAAGGACCTTTAATGGAAGCTGTAGGTACCAAGTACTACACAGTGAGCCAGAAGGAGAACTGACTCACATATACTCATACAACTGAGAGATTTCATGTGAAATCCTAAGATCCCGGATGGACAGTGGTCAAAACCCTGTTATTTGGGTGCTGTTACTACAGCCAGGACCTCCGAATGCCACTTAAGTAGAATCAGAACTCCCTCACTACAGACATCTACAGCATCTTTAAAAAACATACGCACAAATCTGCCAAGAACAGGACATTTTGAGAAAAATATGGATAATTCATGCCTCATCTGTCATTGGACATGATGTTGTGGCGAAAATGATGATGTGATGCTAGGACCAAGCCACAACATGCATTACTGTGTAACAATTTCAGTTCTGTTGTACCCTCAGGAAGTAAGAAGATAATGGGAAAATAAACACACAGAAAGTTAGCTTTTGACAACCTTTATCTTCTTCCCAACTCCAGCAAATGCCCATCAGGAAAAAAAAAATCATTCCTGATTACACGTGTTCGCAATGCTCATGAAAGATTGGGAACCCCTCATAATGCCTAACACTTGATTTTGATATAGATGTGCTGAAATTTACCTGTCCAGGGATAACTTATGAGAATTGGCTACCCCTCAGGAAAAAAAAGGAAACAATAAGCCTAAATGAGTAATCGGATGGGTTTTGTGGTGTTACCATAAGCCAAAGAAATTCAGGAAGCAAATGGAGTTTGGGGACGGAGATCGGAAATTAAGAAGACGAAGAGTGTCTGGTCAGTACATGAATAGGACAAGAAATAAGGAAGCTGAATTATTGTCTGTTGCCTTTTTAAATATTTCTTTCAGTCCTGCGTGACTCAATAAACTCACTTCAAAGGGAAATTAAAAATAGAAAGGAGAGAGCAAGAAACCCCATGACACCTCAAGGGATAGCATCCTGCACTATTATCTGAAGGCCCTACCCTCCCTTTCAGTACATATAAATACAGTAACTCCTGACGAATGACTCGTTCTGACATTAAGTACCACAGGGGACTAATGCTGACTCAATCCTTTGCTGTGAAGTAGCGGAGAGACATTCAGTGTTTGGGTCAAGACTGAAGTTCACTGTCTATTGCCTGTCTGTCAGTGGAAATGTCTGCCTGGCCATGCTACAAGCACATAGGTTGAGAATACAGGCTGCAGAGCAACTACGTTCTCAGGGCTGTGTTCACAGAAGAAGAAGAAGCCTCACAGAAAGGTCCTTCTGCAACCTCCTCACAGTTCTCCTTCTTAGGGAGTTTGAGCTGATGCCACTTTATTCATAAGCAAATACACTGGATGATCTGACAAATCCACACCCAAATGTTCTGGCACGCAGATGCATATATGCACAATGTACGTATATTTTAAGCAAAGCAACTAGAAAGGAAGCTTTTGTGACAATGTCAGCAGCCACAGGGAAACAACAGGAAATAAGCTAAAAATAAAATACAAATATTAGCTGTTTGGTTTTTTAAGTGTGTCATTCTTCTGGTAGTGTCATGCGACCCGGTAGCATCCATTCTTTATGTCCTTGGACTAAATTAGAAGCTGAAGACATCTAGCTGAATATGGGAGAGACAGTCCCGGAGGACCTGAAGAATAATCCATCTAAAGGCATGCCTACAAGGTTTGACCGACTACAATGCAGAGACAGCGGAGCTAGCATTCAGTTGCCCAGACAGGTCAGTGCTCTGTCTAGCACAGACACCAGGCAGGGCTCCAGAGAGCATTGGGCTCTGCTCCAGCCCTGATCTGGGCCATGCTCTGGTGAGCAAGCTTGTCCCAGCCATGGCTGCTTCAGCTCCCTGCTGCCACAGCCACCTCAGTTTGCCCATCTGTTCATGCAGAATAACAAAACTAACGATAAATCCTGCTGACCTGAGCAGACTTCCTATAAAAGTACCCTAAACTTAAAGATTTAATGATAAAAAAAACCTTACTTTCTTTTTTTTTTTTCTAGGTGTAAAATCCTATAGAACGTTTACTGTTCTTCCAAGAATTCTGTAGATTTTTTTCATAAATGTTACATGGTGTAAACGAAAACATTTCCCACTGATTTTGCATTTCAAGTACAACATAGCTAGAAAAATCTGGTTAAATGTTGCCAAAAGACCAGATAAAAAGAATTAGGGAGTTATATTGTATTTGAAAGACTGAATCCCTAAGAGACAAAATAGAATAAAAATGTTATCTTAATAGTTTGAATTCCTTACAATTCTCCCTTAATACCCTCTCTCTCTCAAAAAAAAAAAGCTACCTGCACTATAACTGTTTTTTCACACAATCGTGAGAATGTAGATAAGAAAAAATCTCAACTATTTGAGAATTACATGTCTGTCAGTAAAGCTCAATTCACTTAAATATTTATGTAATTTAGTAATTTAGAGCTTATTCAGTGCAACAGAAAGTTGATGTTAAAAAAAAAAAACTCTCTGCATGGTACTGTCTAACAGCTGCCTCAGAAGAGAGGAACTGAATCCTCATTACTACAGCATGGGCGTTTTGTAGTTGATCAATTGGTTTTCAAATTGTTGGGCTTTTTAAGAGGAAGGCAGGGGTTAATAGATATTTAATTCCAATTTGATTCTCCTATGCTTAATTCTCTTATGCTTTATGTAATTCTCTTCATTCAAATGGTAAAGGCTAGAGCAGAAAACCTTTTCATTCTGTATAATAAAATGCCTATCACAAAGACGCACTGGCCTCTGACTGGAGGTACTTCAACACAAACGCATAAAAATTGCACACGTTGTGAAAGGAAAGAACAAGAAATGACATTTTCTACTTATTCCCAGAACAGGTAATTGGAGAGCAGTACAGTAGCACAAACTTCTTCACCTCTCAGATTATAAGGAGGTGTGGGAAGGTTATTATTCTCTGTGCTGAGTCACATTTTCATCTCTTTCAGGCTAGCTACAAGGACCCTAGTTATTTAACACCCAGAAAAGGTATTTTCACGGGGAGCCAGGTCACAAGCTTTGTGATCCGTGGGCTGAAAAATTAACGTATCTGTGAGTTTCAACTCAGTTCAGTAGGCCAGTACCAAAACCCAAAAACTAAGCATAGTCTGAGCACCAAAATTTTATAAAGATATGCTTTCCCCTGATATGCTCAGGAGAATCATTTTAAGTTTTATTGAGGAACCAACTACTTGGTCATACTGCCTGTTATTGAAAATACTTTCAGAGAACATGAAAAATACTTAATTCCTCTTTAGAGCAATCTCTGAGCTGTAACACATTTGCCTTGAAAGACAATTTTCAGTATTCTAGAACAATACTTCATTTTCAGAGCACAAATATTTTTTCTCCTGTACTTTATGTTTCCACTAAAACAGTTAATAACAATCATGTGGTTAGTTTTTGTAATAACAGTGGAAAATTTTATTTTGTGAATTATTTTACCCATGAGAAAACGTATTTATAGATATTTACCTATAACCAAGAACCTGGACAGTTATTATCAGGAATGCTAGTGCACACATTTGCCTTAATAGGATAGTGTTTCATGGAGTGCCCAGTCAAACTATTTAAATACACAGCTGGATGTATTACATCTCACTCATCTCAGGGTACCCAGCTGCGTACCACTCAGGGCACTGCTCAGTCTAAGTCGGGGCTTGAATCTCATCCATAGTTTCCCACATCCCCACAGAGGAATGTGGTAAATTCTTGCTCTTTCTTCCTCAACATCCCTACACAGAAAAACTGCAGAGATGATTGGTTTACAAACACAAAAAAAATACAACTCCCTCCTCCAAATTTTCATGAGACCAAGAAAACAAATAGATTGTTTCATTAGGAGTTTCAACAAATGAGCACTTTCCAAAGAATAATTGTTCTTTCAAAAAATCACAAACAATTCTCAAAAAGCAGAGTACCATATATCACGTTACTGAAGACAAGCTTTTGAAGGCATTCGCTGGCTGCAGCCAGTAGACCCACCGGCAGTTCCAGTAAGAGAATTTTGCGACCTCTCCAGCACTCATGGATAGACCACCCCAGACACACTCTGCACACATGCAGTCAGGGATGTTTTGCCATTGCTTAATGAGATGGGTCAGGAATTAAAAAACAAAACAATCACCGCACTTTCACTATCCCATTTTACATAAATCAGCTTCATAATTAGTGATATAATTATGGAAGGGTACAGCAAGGTACTTACATTATGAGTTAATTTTTGTTATTTTGAGTCCACTAAGTATTCAGAAAATATGGGGAAAATTCTCTCTAGCATAAACTAGTTTTGATGTAAATAGGTAATAGATACTCCAGGGACACTCACTCTTTCTGCTACTCTACAGTCCTGGACAGGAATCTAGAGGCACTGTTCCAGGATAGTACAAGTTATGTGGTGTATTTCAATAAAGATGTTTTAAAACTCTTCTTTTTTTCCCCAGATGGTTCAACCAAGAAATTTCTTTATACATAGTCATATATTAAATCAGAGTTCAAAGTGAATGATCATCCTTGTAACCTCCACCCAGTCTGGAATGAGAAATACTGAAATAATAATTATAAATATCATATAATGAGAAAGGTTCTTCTTACAGCATTTCCAGATGAAGTGCAGGCAGGAAGTACCAAACAACCTCACAAAAAAATTCTTGTGTGATATGCAGCCAGATTTTATAGAATTTAAGGGTGTAACAGTCTGGATGAACTTCAAATAAGGATCGAAACCTTAAGATGATTATCTCCTGAGGTTTCACCATCATGTTAAAAGGAAAGCTTTAGTTTTATAATCAGCTGTGAGCCTACAAATACGATGGAATATTTCTGAGCTTTTTTCATTCAACATTTCTCCAAACAGATTTGTGGCTGTATCTCACCATTCCTCTAATCATGTATCT